ACGGTTTGCTCTATACATTGCGGTACATATGCTCTACGGTTGTCTGGGTTGCATAATGAAGAGGCTGTCGGGAAAATTCAATAGGAGCTTAGAAATCTCTCGTTGAGCTTTCATTGGTTCGTACGTAAAATCACCTAATAACTGAGCCTTTGTACGAAAAGACGCCCTTAGACTCTTCTGGAGCTTTTTCTATTGTGGCGCAGCGTGATTTGCAATATATCGATTGATCTGCCATTTAAACCTATGGAAAAGGATCGATAAACAGAATGTTTGCAACGAACACCTTAGTAATCGATTCTTCACCATAGCTTCAAATGGGGAAATATCGATAATCGATATTTCACGCCTCGCCACTGCCTTTTTGTATCTATTATAACGTCAGGTAATTTTACCACTTTTTAAGCCCTTCTCGCCTTGTCAGGTTGTCGGATAAATTTTATCGATGCACGTCTGGCTCGGCGCATTTAGATCCCCTCCCCTCTGCTCACCCCGTAAGGTCCTGCGGACTGATTATTAAAATGTTTAGACAAAGCGATAGACAAAGAAGGCAAAGAGGACATGGAGCGATTCTATTGAGTGAACCCGTGGTTTTTTTTAGACTCAGAAGAGGATATATCGACGGTGAAACTACCAAACCACGTATCTCGTTTGCGATGTTTAAAAATCTACGCTCACATTTTATTTTTTTGAAGTAGACCAAATCAATATCATTCCTTGAAATTTTCACGGACTTTTCTCCGCACAAAGAAGAAAAATCACAATTTTCAAGACTGGATGTTAAGTAGTTTTTTATTTAAAAAATAAAGTATGACAGGAAGTCTGCGACGTCGCAAACCGAGATACGTGGTTTGGTAGTTTCACCGTCGATATGTAGAATAACCTTAAGGTCTATCATCGGTTGCTGTTAGTCACTTTATTACTTACTTCCTTCGTCCATTGCAACCGCCTTCTCTACCACCGATAGGACCACTTTTTTTCTGCTCGTCGCTTTTGTCTATCGCCTTGTCAACCTACTTCAGAAATCAGCCCGCTGACGCTATTTATGGACGACCCTATATCTAATGTAGCCATTTCGAAATAATTGCTGTTTTGGAGCAAGAATAGGAACTTTTATACTTTTTCTCGACGCCCTTTTCTGATTTTAGCAAGGGGGAGACGTTTCTCATCCTACTTGGGCTTTATTGTTTAGACGAATCTAGATAACTTAGACGGGAGGGTGATCCTGCGTTTTTTACCCCAAAAAACTGGTTTTTCCGACGCCTTCCGTACGCCCAATTTACTTCTTACAGTTCAAGAGTGGCACTCTTATATTTTGCCAGAGCTACATTTCATAGGAGGGGACTCGTTTGCAGGGGCGAAACCTCTCTCCAGGCACAAAAGAGTGATTTTCCACCTTTTTCCACCTCACTTCTTTCACTTTTTAGTACACAAGACAGGGTTGCAGGTTTGGTTAGATTCAAAATTTCTCTCACATTTTCCAGATTCTCTTTGGCTTCACAAAGAGGAACAAAATAGCTAACTATACCCACTAAATTGATGGAATATTTCCTTCTAAAATTTCTGATATTTCCCCGACTTCGCACTGGACCAAACATGTAGACCCAAACTGGACTAATGATGTCTTTAATTTGCACTTGCGTAAAAAACGCGAAAAAGCTTTTTGAATTTTTAATATGCGATGTTAGGAGTACAAACCACCAGCTTATCAGGCATTTTACGACTTCTATTGGTGAAAAGATGAGCCTAACTACCCGCAACTTATGCCTTGGGAATTTTTTATCCTCTTTGCAATCAGAGAGAGTTTTCTGCTGAAATTATACCATCCGATTTTCCACCCAACTCTATTAATCGTGATAAAGTCTAATGATTTTCAAGCTATAAAATTTGCATTGATTTAATGAAACTAAAACATGAAATTCGTTCATCGTTGTACTGAAAATTTTACCTTTCTGAACCAAAGGACTGTTCTTAAAATACGAATGCTCCATAAAGGGATGGAGATCTACGCCTACGTTACGAAAATAATCCAGGGCCGTGTTACGTAACTCTTGACGCATCATTTTTTGGAAGTTTTTATCGATTTTTTCATTGTTAAATTTCTCTTTTTCCCCCTAATTTCATAATTAAAAACTGGTTTCCCGTCATTGTCTCCTTTCATTTTTTATCTCTATTTATTTATTAATTTTTTAAAAGTATGTTTTACAAATAAAAAAAATCGAGGGTTTCTAGTGATTTCTCCATAATTGAGAGTGGAGGGTCAAACAGAGCGTTACTTTTTGAAGGATGTTCAGCGTTGCGTTACGGGGCGGGAAGGGATAAAAAATTACGATTCTCAGCATTTCGTACTCTTAAGGTCCTTTTTAGTGCCCTGTCGGCCATATTAATATATTTTTTCCAACGCAAGATTTGGCAACTATGTTTGCGCTCCTTAGAGAGCTCCGACTGTGTAGATGAGATTGGACGCGTGCCAATTCGTACAGCCCCCCAAGCTCTGTCGCGTTAAGGAAAAAACCGAGTATGTGCGCAGGTTTTGTATCGGAGGTTGCGGGTTTTTTCCCGAGAGGATGGAACATTTGATTTCAGCATCTCCGGGGCGACGGGAGACGAGAAATAACACGTGTCCTACGACTGGGACCCGGAATTATTATTATTCATAAGGACCTCGATTTATAAATCAAATAAGCCTGCGTTTTTAACGGGAAAATGTCGATTTTTGGGGCCCTATTCTATTCATAGTCGTTCTTTAAAACGCTCCTCTCTATAGGAGGTTACGTATGAATTACGTTGTAATGGACCACCAGACAAGGTACGAAGTTAAGCATTCTGATACATGTTTCTTAACCAATGTTTAACATGGAATACGATTCGTGCGACGAAAATTACTGAAATTGACTCCTAACCAAGATATTTAATGTTTCTTGACGCGTGAATTCAAACCTCCCGCTCATGAAAAACACAATGGTTTACGTGTGTCAGATCGCAAACTAAACATTATTGTGGCAGTCTCTGGTGCGATAAGAAAATATGGCAATCTCAATCTTGATGCTTTGGCTAAGGTATAGCAGCAATTGTTTACACTTTTCAAAATAAAGAGTAGGAAATGAACAATGTTTGATTAAGAAGCCTACCAAACCCGTTGTAGTGCGCGATTTGACTCACGTAGAGTGTTGTTTTTTGTGACCGGGCAATTCAAATTTCCTGTAACCAATGTGAAACTAAAGCGTTAATATCTTAGTTAGGAGTTTATTTCAGTAATTTTTGATGAAAGAATTGTGTTTTAAGTAAAATTCTGGATAAGGAACATGCGTCAGAAAGCTTACATTTGTACCTCATTTGGTGGTCCATCAAAGGAGATCCACGCAGGATTTCACTCCAAAACTTTTAGCAGTGTAAAATTCAACAGTGGCGGAAATAGATCATTTTAAGGGATTCCAATTTTTAAGACCAGGTTTTGTGCGTGTTTTGTAAAAAAAAGTGCACGGTATTTCTTTTCAGGATTTAGGAATTGGGCATGTAAAATGCAGTCACGCTGATTCTACTTTTTATCCATTCTTTTTTTATTTTAATTTAACTTAACTCATTTTTTTTAAAAATTTGTTTTTATTCAGTAATAAGCAATTACGTCAAAAATTACTCTCTGCAAACCAATACTAATGTTATTCATCGCTGACTGATGAGATTAAAGTAGAGACTTACGGGATTGTCATCAGTGTTTCATATAAACACGGGTAAGTAAGGTCACTGTTGCGTGGCGAGCGCGAAGAAAGTTAAAACGCCTCCAATTGAATTCGTATGCAACACGCACGTCCATCGAGTACGAATAGTTGTATGTAGCGCCTGGGTGAAAATTGCATCCTCACGTAACGGTGATCGCGTGTCGTTGAGTGGTTGAGCCTGCATATTTGTGGTTGATTGACGTTGCTCCTCTATTTGTTTCTGTTGTTTAAAATGTACAATGTTTAATGAAATAAGAAAACTAAATATCTGTGTTAAGAAGGTGTCTACACCAGTCCAAAGTGAATTTCTTTTTCAATGTGTTCTAATACTTCACTCATTAAAGGTTTTCCTTCAAAATTTGTATAAGTGAATTTTAAACGCCGTGTCTATTTAGAATAGAGATGGAGTCGTCTCTCGCATTAGGAAATTGGCAACATTATTTTCCTTAATTTAAACATATGGAAATATGTCAATTCTTGGAGGGGCCAGGTGCTCTGACAAGAATAGATTTTTTAACATAGGTTTAAGGGAAGAAATCTGGCGCTGCCAAATCGCTGGATCCGCCTCTGGTTTCTTGGGGCAAATTATGCTGATTTTGAGTGAACTCCTTCTGTGCAGTAAGCATACCTCATATGGATCACATTTAGCAAAAAGGAACTAGAGCAATTAAAGTGTTGTAAAAATGTTGCATCTCCATAATGATCTAATAATTCTACATAATTACCAGCATAGCAAATAGTTTTTGCTTCCTACCAAAAAATTGTTAACTTGAAAGGAAAATAACTGTGTAAACTTTAATACTGTACATATATCGTGTATTTTTAAAAGGAAAGATGTTGCACGATTTTGAAAACATTGTAATCGCGCTGGTTCCTTTTTGCTAAATGCAATCCATATCTTTGTAACTTTCCACTGTGAGTCCCCTTTTTTCTCCCCACATTTTAATCATACGTCAATGAACCCTGATATGCGAGAACTGCCGTGCTAAGGAAAAACGCCGTACGAACCCCCAGGCGTTGCCAAATCTCCTGTCATAAAACGCGAATTTCCTGGTAAATTTATGAATATTTTCCTTCCAATTTTTCAAATACTTTAGTTCACAATTTTACCTAAAGATTCTAAAAATTTCAAGGAAAACTATTCACGGCTTTCCTCAAAAATGAACATTTTATAGAAAGAAATTTGGCAACGTTCGAATGTTCATACGGTGTTCTTCCTTAGCACGGGCGAGCATTCTTAGAAAACCTCGGGATTCATCAGAAAGTAAACATTTTGCGTTTCAGGATGGAGCGACTCGTTTGGCATCGGTCTCGTTTCTAGATTAGCCTCCTCCCTCGTAATTCAAGCGAAATGGAGCACGCAAGAGCCCGAAACTACGAGTTGCTCGAGGCAAAATGGAGCCTAAAAGTCATGTTGTTACATGCCTGTGTGCTGCCTAAACAAATAAATCAATAACTACGCGTTTTATGGTAACGTTGCATGCCGGAAACTATTTCCTTACTCATGTTTCTGTCTCATCCACCCTCCACTTCTCTAGGTCGTCCTTCGGATTTTCGAGGCACCTCCCTTCCTCTCGCCTCTCATTTTCGATCCCATTCTCATTCTCGATCATTGCATTGGTGGATCCAGCAATTTGGCAACACCGGATTTCCTCCATTTAAACCTATGTAAATGTATCGATTCTTGGGAGAGAGAGCTAGGTGCTCCGACAAGAATCGATTATTCAGCATATATAGGTTTAAATGGAGGAAACCCCACAGAAAAAATAGATGGTGCTGACGACAAAATCTTCTGTTCACAGAGCTCCTGCAGTTTATTTGTTACACTTACAGAATTTTTCTGCTCTCACAACAGAAAAAGTCTGAACGTGTAACAAAGAAACTGCAGCAGCCCTACGAACAGAAGATTTTGTCGTCAGCACCATCTATTTTTTTCTGTGCGGTGGTGCCAAATTGCTGGTTCCGCCTCTGTTCCGATCCCAGGCCACGCCCGAGTTTCGGATGAGTATACTCGCGATTGTTCCACTCGATACGCATCTCTGCGGGCCAATTATTTAAATTGATAGACAAAGCTATAGACAAAGAAGACAAAGGAGATATGGAGGGATCCAATTGGTATAAGTGGGTGGTTGCAATGGACGAAGGTGGTAGGTAATAGACTAGCTAACCGCAACTCTCGAGAAATCCGATAGTTCGTCCATCATTTTCTCCCTTAGTCTATAGGAACCACACATTTCAACCAATGGGATCGCTTCATCCACTTTATGTCTTCTTTGTCTATCGCTTTGTCTATCAATTTCAACAATCAGCCCGCTGGTATGGACTGATTCTGTGACTGTATATTTTATTGATCATTTGTCTTATGCGGGTCACCAAAAGTTTCAGTAGAATTTTATGGTGGCCTTTCTGCTCTTGGTTTTGGACAAAAGTTAACCAACGAAATGCCACCAAATTTCCTCGCATTATAAGATTATAAGTAATAAAAAAATTAAAAATAATAACAAATTAACAATCTACTTAACATAGTCCAGGGTAAATAAAACGAGTTAGATTTTCTGCATGTATAGATGGTTCGATCTGCACCCACCCATTCAATTACCTCCCGCGGAATTTTAATAAAGTGGCAAGTTATTTCCGGGCACGCAAGATAAGAAAAAAAAAATACGAAGAGAGTTCGACGATTAATTCCTTACTCAAAATGTGCCTTGTGTTTGAGATCATTTGTCATTCGCATTGGCTTTCCTCAGAAATGAAACGAAGTCTCCCTGATCCTCCCCTTTATTTCAAAAAGAAATGAGAGTCATTATGAATGTCAAACTTTATCCAAGATGCAGAGGAGCAATAACAGTGAAGTTTTTGGTGAGCTCGCAGTTCGCAGTAATTATGATTTGCAGAGCTTATGATAATTGCAGGGTTGCCAAACCGATTAGAGAAAATCTGAACTTCTCGTTCCTTTATAACAAAATCTGGGAATTAAAATGAAATTGAAGCGTTGGGTGCAAAAAGAGCATTTCTTGATTACAGCGTCTCAAAATCTCAGCTAACGTTTCATCCACTTTAATTGAAGCAAATGTAAATAATTTGTAACAAGGTGGAGAAATGGTGCTGGGTCCACAACATTTCGTGGGGAAAACAAAGCCAAGAAATTCCAAAAATTAAAATTAGAGTCAAAATTTTGACTCTAATTTTAATTTTTTGAACTTCTTGGCTTTGTTTTCCCCACGGAATGAAGTGGACCCAGCACCATTTCTCCACCTTGTTACATACAGTTCGGGCCATACTTCTTAGTGTTTTTTTTTCCATTTGTAAATAATTTGTTGTAACTTTTACTGAATATTTTCTATGATTTTACACTGCTGAAAATGTAAAATGTCAGAAAATTGACCCAATGGTTTCCTCTCTAAAATAAGAACAAGCACTGCAGAGTCTGAAACACCGCAACCAAACGCCTCAATTTCAGGGATTAAAATTAATACAATTTAGTTTTTCTGAGAAATTTTTATAACATCGCATTTTCTGATAAATATGAATAAAAAAAACATATCGATGGTGTAAGTCGGCAATCACATAACTCGGTTTGCGACGTAGGAGACTTCCTGTCATACTATATTTTTTAAACGGAAAATTACTCAACGGCAATTCTTTAAAACTGCCGTGATTTTTCTTCTCTGTGCGAAGAAAATTCTTCATAAACTCTAAGGAATGATGACACTGTATTATTTACCTGCCGATAGCCGACAACCAGACAGATTTGGCGATACAACTATGACAAAAATGGAATAATGGGGAGTCGAAAACTTTAAAGGAATGACGATTGTCTATAATCTCGGGAATTCATGTTTGAAGGGAGAAGGCAGTGCCAATGCTCCAACAATATTTCAGAAATGCGAGGGGGGAAGAGAGAGGGAGATAATTGCACCATAATTCGAAGCAACATTCAGGATTCGGAAATGCTCTTTGGCAAACAAAATTCCTTTCGCACGAGGTACTGAAGATTTTTAATTAAATCGACAGTGAGTCGTGTTCGCAAAATTTCCCGATTCAGTTTTCCGTCTGTATTTTTTACTGCAGTGGAGAGGGGGAAAGTATGCTGTGATTAAATTAAATGGTATGCTTCCTCTGAAGACGGGTAGTCTTTTATTTTCGGCGTTTGCAAGTTGGGCATTTCTTGTTCAAAAGTAGAGGTAAGAAAATACATAAAATAGCCAGATTGATCTGGCAAAATCGAGACTTAAAAATGAGCAACCAATACTTTAGATCAATAAATAACAAAATGGCTCATAATCAGACGATTTGAGGGTGGTATATGTTAACTCTTTTGTCCAATCAGGTCGAAAGAATCTAGGTTTTTATTTTTATTGAATTCATCTTATAATTTTTAGTTTCTTTGATGACAAAGAGGTTGACACCAACCCAAAATGTTCCGGACATATTTTTTTTACTATTGTCCTCGATCTCGTTCATTCAATACTTTTTCTTCGATTCATACCTCCGTAAGAAATCAGGATTGATGAATCAAGAAGTGATTAGAACACGACTGATTAGATGAATTACAAATAACTCTTCAATTGTACTCAATTGTACTATTAGAATTGGTATAATTTTTTTTATCATTTCAGAAAGATGATTTTTTATTTCATTTTCTGGGCTTATTTTTATTAGAGGGTAAGACCAGGTTAGTCTTTTATTTTTGGTGGTTGCAAGTTAATGAATAATAATATTTATAATATAAAATAATAGAATAATATTTCTAACAAACAACAATGACAGTAGTTTTTTTTACTTCTGGCTGCGACCAAGTTTCAGATATGAGGCTTACTTTATGGAAGCAGAGCAAAATGATGAAGTGTCATGATCACATTGAGGGCTATTTTGAGGGTTACATATTATGAGGCGAGGGGCATGAAAACATATAAACACAGCTCTTGGGTGAAACAATGGACACTCGTTAGTGGTCTGATTGCCTTCTAGAACGCTATCCCACGGGAGCATAATAAGTCATTACGCCCATGGCAGCCTGGTTCTCTGCCTTTCAATTATTCTCGCTTCAACACCATACATTTCTATCCAATCCAGATTGAGCGCAGAAAACTCCTCAGTTAATTTTAGAGTTGCTATTTGGATAATATTTTGCAATAAGGCGAGCCAATACCTCTGGATCTTCCATAAAAGCACCTCTCTGCGTAGGGAAACCAATGGCATATATTTTGTTTCTAAAATGAGCCAGAAATAGTGGTTCTTTATTGCAACATTTAATCCATTTTACAGTGGCTGGAGCTCTAAGAAAAATATTTGTCTTCTCGCTGTTATCACTGCATCATAAAAAATTATTTAAAAATTATTTTTACTCTGTTCCCTAATGAAGATATAAGTTTGAGTCAATTCTGAGTTATTCCGTGTCATATTTGACCATATTCTCCTGCATAGGACTCTAATGGACTGCCAATTATTTTAATCGCCTCGAAAATGAGTCATTTAACTCGGTCGACGAGTTAATCGACTCTACTTATATCATTGTCAGCTCCCTGCCCCCCTAATGTTTCATTTTTCGTCACATTCCGTCTTACCGTTCCAGTAGGCCGAATTACTCGTACATGATTTTGGCGCGTATACGTAGTATACCGCCTTTTCGATCGTCTCGACCCCCCCCCCCTCGATACAATAACCGAATCCCCTAGTTTTCAGCTATTAGCAGGAAATAGTCCTTATACAAACCTGTTTTTTACAGATTTTAGAAATGTGACCCATAAGTGTTGTCATATTACGCAATTAAGTCATGATATCTACCAATTAAACAATGTAACTGTACATTTTTTGTCAAAGTTCGTCCAATAGGTATACCAGGCTAATTTTTATGATTTTGGTGGTCGTCGCAGAGTGGATCGAGTTAATTAGAGAGGTTGGACATTCAATTTTTTACCACTGAAACTGCAAAGTTTGATGTTTATTTTGTCACATTTTAAATTTAAAGGGGTGCACCTAGAAGAAAGTTTCATGAGGAACCCAATGGAACCACTTTCAGAATCTCCAAACTCTGTACAAATGGAGTTATAGGCGTTTAGAGTTTCCAAATTTTTCCGTCCTCTCCTATTGACTCGATCTACTGTGCTTCTGCGGGCGACAGTCCCAGGATGAGCCCGCTATATTTAGATTGACTCATGGGGGCCCACGATGCAGCCCGGGGGCGTACCCCTGGTCCTAAATATGGGAAAAGAATAGTATCATCCTCAACAATGTAGTATAAGTTTCGTTATCCCGACTGTACGCGTAAAAGCGAGAAAAGCAACAGATTTCGTCGAAAGCGTGATTTTGTCGGGACGAATTTGAACTGTCCATCTTTCGCACGTAAAACAGGTAAACTCTGCCGTGCTAAGGAAGAACGCTGTTTGAGCCATTAGGCGTTGCCAAATTTCCTTTGATAAAAATTTCACTTTCAGGGAATTCTGTACACATTTTTCTTTGAATTATTCAGAGAATTTAATTCGCGACTAGAAATCATCTGAAAATTTTCAGGGAAAATATTCATTACTCTCCTTTAAAAAAAATTATCGGAGGAAATTCGGCAACTCTCGAATGTTCATACGGCGTTTTCCTTCAGCACGGCAGTCAGTACTGAGGAAGAACGCCGTATGAACATTCTAGAGTCGCCAAGTATCCTCCGATAAAGGTGTCATTTTGAAGAAAGCTATGAACATTTTCACTTGAAATTTGCAGATGATTTAGATCTGGCTGCGAATGAAATTATCTGAAAAATTGGAGGGAAAATATTCAAAAATTTTGCAATAAATTCCTATTTTATCAACGGAAATTTGGCAACGCCTAAAGGTTTATACGGCGTTTTTCTTTAGCACGGCAGAGTACAGTCCTTCGCGGAAAGCTACCGCGGAAAATATGGCGCGGAAAACCTTGCGAATCGAGGGGGGCACGTGCAGGATCACTCGCTCGGGATCGTGAGGGGGGGGGGGG